AGGATTTTTCTAAGATGGTTCATAACTAAGATAATCAACTTCATTTACTTCAGGAGAAAATATCGAGGCAAAGTTGTATTTTTATTGAAATGAAGACACTTCAATTCACTATAAACTAGGAAAAGAAGATTTGATAGCTGATTTGAAGATAGAAGAAATGAATGCAAGGGAAAATGGGTACCTTGAACTATATATCTCAACACTCTTGGTAAGCTGGTATAGGCACGCCAGATTCTGCTGTAAATTTCATGTAAGCCTTCTGCATTCTTTGAGTCACAGGTCCGATTCTACCATCACCTACCATGCGCCCATCAACCCTGATAACCTTAAACAGTTCAAGAGGAGGAAAAAAGAAAAAACTTATTCTCTTATAACAAAATTTAAAGCAATGGAAAGCTTAAGCCAGGAAAGCATGAGATCACTATTGCAAAATGACTATCATGGTAAGGAGCTAACAGAGTAAAAAGAATCATGAAATTTCTCTTTTATAAAGATGGTATCTGTTAGGTACTCCTGTTTCATTCGAGAAAAAGGTACACCCATATTTCATACAGCCAGTGAGGTAAGGACTGAGATAAAAGGTCGGACACAGAATACTGATAGCTCTCTGATAGCACTTACATTGCACATCAGAGTGTAACAGATCATGCAGAGGTATGCATGTATCTTGTCCAAAAGTAGAAACAAGAGATCCAATTTGACATGAACTAAACCGAATTAGTTTGACAATGGCAACCTTGTCTAACATTATGTGGATTTTCTTTGGCTTCAAAAAGCCACACCAAAATGCAGAGCAAGATACTAATATCCTTAGAATCAGAGATTTGGCTGTAACCTTTGTTTAGTTTGGATTATCATTGGTTAATTTAGTGAGAAAAAATGACTTTATCACTGCTAAAATTTAATGAGATTTTTAGTTAAGATATCATGTTTACTAAGTAAATACTCAATAGTTAATTATTCACCACCTCTAATCAGTTTTGAAGTCAATTATTGAAATAATCATAACAGGTTCAAATAATCTAAACTAAAAGAAACCTCAACACTAGACTTGCTACAAACAATATAAGAAACAAAGAGAAGGATATAAAGTAAAATAAGAATGAAAACAGAAGGCATTCAATGCCCCCACAGAACCAATTAAGCAGCACCATCATGAAATAACAATGCTTGGATATAGATAACATACCGGGCTGAGTTCTCCCATACTTCCTGTTGTCCACACCTGCAGGGAAAAGGTCTTGCTTAAATCCAACTTAAATATGCTATAAATCACCAACTAGAAGAATTATAATTAAATAGATGAAGTTCATTGTTATCGCTGGTCACTAACTTGAACGAAAGAAAGAATCAGTGTCGAGGAGGATAACTAGAAATAAAGAAAAGAATACGTGGTACAAAAGAACCGTAACTTCCCTAGAAGTTCCAAATCTAGTAAAATGATTATAGCAGCCACTAATATCTAATGAGTATATATGTCATAACATAACAATTGAATGAGTAGACTAAATTCAAAAGCTAGCTAACATAAGTTGATTTTCCTAACATTGGCAACTGCATCAAGTCTAAAAGACAAAAGTTCCAGAGAATTACATTTGGTTTGATTGGACAACCTTCCATTATGAAGACAGTGCCAATTGGTAACATAAGTGCACAAATAGTATATTTCTTAAATTGTACAAACAATCAGAGAATGTCAAGAAATATAAGTCGCTTGTAGCATAAAAAGTTCACAACTAATGTGTTTAGCATTTTACTTTTTCTTAATATAATCTTCTCCCTGCTAGAGCTTTACCAGACTAAAATGATAGATAATTTCCAGTCATAAATGACATTTGACTACTATGAAGGTCGAATTTGGGTAGTAGTTCTATGCTGGTGCCGAGGACCATTGGTATATCTAACACAGAACGAACTAAGTTATAAAATCATATGTATGAAATAAAGATCTTGTATGTTGAACATGTAAACCTCATCTGCAGTATGAAACTCTGATAAACTGACACGGCGTTCATCTACAACCAAATTTTCTTTAATAGCAAGCTCCATAACCTGCATGAAAGAAATGGGTTGCTAATGAAGCATATAGCGGCCAAGGTAATCATAGCAATCAATTGAAACAAATATATTATATTGCATTTCCAGGCATCCATAACAAATCCATCCATTCTTTAATATCTAGCAAAACCAATTATGAACTCTCAATTGAAACATGAGCGCCCGTGCTACTTTCAATAAATGTGTATTCTTCCTTCGATCAATCCCATCTTGTAGAGGTTAATCAACAAGATAGTTGAACAATACTATGTTTTCCAATTAGGTTGTAAAAATGCTAGAGAAGTATTGAAGATTTGACTTTCCTAGGCAAGCTAGGCCTCTTATTTATGTATCCTTGTCTAAGAGATTCAGACAACTATATAAGATAATTTCCTCAGTAATGTGATTTTAAAATTAGTATAAATTCTTTCTTTTCTTATAGGATAGATTATGGTTAGTCTTCATATAACAAATTATGGTCTTCATCGGGCATGTTATGGTAGGTTATAACATTTCTTTCATTGCTATTTGTAACCTATTAATAGGGTTTATATCTTTGTAATTCAAAAAAAATACGAGTTATTCAGATTTTCTATACCTATACTTATTTATGTCTCAGTTATTTTCTCCATAATTTCAAATTTGAATTCATTGTGAAGCTGGTTGAAATAGAAAATAAGCCAACTCAAACAATCTTAAATTATCGGTGCCCAAACCTGAAAAATAAGATGAGAACAAACTTGATGAACCTATCT